ATGCTGGGGGCGTGTATGCCGCCGGCTCCCATATGGCTGGATACAAATGAGGTTCATCGAGGGCCCAATTCAGGATCCTCTAAATTCTGGGAATTTAATTTCCAAGCGATTCTCCGCAATGGTTTCCCCTCCTCAGTCCTTCTCAAGCCTCTGACCGTACGCCGGGTGATTTCTGTCGTTGAACGCATGTATGCGTTATCAGTAATAACGCACAATGTGCGTTATTATGTGCGTCGCATATACGCGTGATAGTAACGCGGCGTTATTAACGCCGTTATCACATTGGATCAAAATATATTGAGTTTTAGTCTTCAATACTGTTGTATGGCTCTGTAGGTAGAAAAAGAGGGAAATACGATACAGCGAACCTTGTACAGGTCTCTCAATCCCGAACACTGTCGGGATTGTCGTAAAACTTCTCGGGGACTGAAGGCTCTTCGGCGAAGGGTTGCGCAGCAAATAGCACCGGTAACCTTCTTCGCCGAAATACGTGAAAAAATCCTCACATATGAAAGGAGACAATTAGCTTGGAAAAGTGGAGTCTCCGGCCGGGATGGGCGTTGATAAATTATCACCGACCATACCTGTATCATACGAGCTACGCCCGAAGGACGGCATTGTCGTCATTTCCCCAAGTTGCTTAGCCGAGATATCGTTCCAGCTCAGAATAACTTGATGAGGACTAGCCAAGCTACCACCTAGTAACTGGGCGGACCAGCCCCTAGTTCGCGGATGATAGTATTAAGGAGTTGAAATTCTCCCAGTACCAGCATATCCCGTGATATGGAAGTATCCCTTATCAGATCCGTGATATTCACCAAAGTTGCCCTCACGCTTTCCACGATCTCCTGAGAGGCTCTTTGCTGGTCTGGATCCGCCCCTGTCAGTCCTGCTGAGTTTGAACGTTGACTGAGCTTGTCCGATTCGGACAAGCTTAGTCAACGTTTAACTCGATCGGGCAGTCCGAAGAGTTGCCTTCGGGAACCCTTTTTCGGTATAAGTGCCACCCTCTGTTGAGCTAATTACCGAAGTTCCCTGTACTATATCCTTGCTCGGAACACCAGGTGTAGCATCCAGAGCTGTGAATAATGCATCGAAGCATCGGGTCCAAGCGTGGTACAGACCGTCAGCTCCTCATCGTTCCTCCTCGTCGTTCGCTGTCTCAAAAATACATGTTCGAACTTAGTTTTGCACTAACTCAACTGT